ATCCCACAGGGCCCACCTTGGGAGGCGGCATTCCAGAGTTTGGCTTATAGCCCATGTGCAATGGGAAACCATCGATGGGTTTTATACAGGAGGGAGATGATCTGTTTTACTTTATTTTCTTCAGCTTTATTGAGTTGTAATTGACAAATAATGGTTTGGTTTTTTATATCTATGTATTTTTATTTAGGTATGAAATTTTTTAAAATGTGACTTAAAAAAAAATCCTCCCAACAGCTCACAAGCATCAGCAAACAATATGCAATTTAGGATAACACATCTGGTGTATTACACTTGATCTGATTTACTTTTAAAAGCTTACTCTGGCTACCTGTGGAGAATGCACTGATGGGTGAAGGATCTGAAGCAGAGAGACTGTTAGGAGACCACTTGAATAACCTGGGTGAGAGATGACCATCTGTGTTAGCAGAGTGGCAGTGGAGAGGGTGAGACATGGATAATCAAGATATACTGTGGAGCTACCAATGAACTTGCTGATGGCTTGGATGTGGGAGGTAAAAGGAAGGGAGGAAGAAGTCAAGGAGGGGTTTTGGGTTGGAATAATTGGTTGGATGGTGGTGCCATTCATTGACTGGAGCTGGGAGTGGGAGGTAGGGACCTACCATAGACTGAACATTTATGTCCCCTCCCCCAAATTCATATGTTGAAACCTAATCCCCAATGTGATGGTATTTGGAGGTGGGTCTTTAAAAGGTGACTAGGTCATGAAGGTGGGGAGAATTCGCTTGCTCCTTCCACCATGTGAGGACACAGCAAAAAGATGTCCATCTGTGAACCAGGAAGAAGGCTCTTGCCAGACTCCAAATCTGCTGATGCCTACATCTTGGATCCCAGACTCCAAAATGATGAGAAATAGATTTCTGTTGTTAATAAGCCACCCAGTCTATGGTGCTTTGTTGTAGCAGTCTAAACTAAGACAGGACCCCTATCCTCAGGGAGCTCCAGGTTGCTGGATACATCCTTTCCTAGGCCTTGGTCTCTCCTCCAGTTGAGACACTGACTCCTTGTTTGCTGGTTAGTATCTGCAGCTGCTTGAAAACAAAACTAGATGCAACATGATCCACCAGCAGAAGAAAACTAAGCTGGATTTTTCTCGTTGTGGTGATAGATTTATGCTGTTAACTTTGTGCTTGGTTCACAAAGGTCAGGGGTATGCTCTATAGCCAGGAACAAAGCAAAGCATGAAGATCAAATCTGTGACTTTGACCACAAAGGGCATCGAGCTGCTGCCTCACTGGTTTACCCGTTGTGAGCGGAGTGACTGCAGTTTTCTCACTGACCCACATGAATCGACCAGCAAAAGAGGATTCACATGCAAAGTCTTCCACAGTGGACACCATGTCTCCTGCAGTACCTACAACTAGAGAGAGAGGGGTTTCTCATCACTTCTCAGGTAAATCCACACCGCCCAGCTCAGGGCTGGGCCTCAGCCACTGCCAGCAGCTCATGCCCAGGGTGTGTCACTGAAGCCCCCTCCCACCCACCACGGACACTGCCACTTAAGGCTTGCCACCACTTGGGCCCTTCCTCTCACTGCTGGACACACACCTCATTTTTGCCCACCTACTTCTCTTGTGCCTTTCAAACCTTAGCTCAGAAAATAAAGAGGAAAAGTTTTTTTTAAAAAAAGGTAGCAGTCTTTGAAGAAGTCAAAAGACGAATGCCAGAACAGCCTTTCTGGTCCTAAGCGATGCTAAATACCGCATAGTACAACTGTAGGCATATTCTTTTTGGTTGCCAATTCTAAACATACTTACTGAGCATCAGTTATGCATGAAACAGGGTCTGGGGTTTAGATGAGGAGTATGATCCAATTCTTGCCCTAGAGGAACTTCCAGTCCATGGAGGAGCTAGGAGACACCCAGGAAGTAAGCATTTAGAACACAGTGTGAGGAAGTTTCCAGTGAAGGCTCCTTTAGGACATGCTGAGTCCTGAAGAGTGATGAGAAGCAAAGGGGTCAGGGAGTCTGGCTAGGTAGAGGGAACAGCTTGTACAAGGCTTGGAGGTGATTCAGAAGTTCTGAGGTCAGGACAGCAGGGATAAGTCTTGACTTTCTCTGCTCCAGGCTGACCAGTTCTTAGTCCTTCGTTTATGACATTCTGTCCCAGTGTCCTGGTGTCCAGGAGAGGCAGAGGAAGCAGACCCATCTTGTGTCCAGGTTGGAAGAAAAATATTGGAGTGTTCAAACTGAGATATCTATCCAAATGACAGGACAGAAAAATTACCACCTAGGACAGATGGTGACCGAAGTTTTAATAGCACTTTAAAGTCCCCGTGTGCTTCAGGAAGAAAGTCCTTAATACCCTCTGAAAAATTAATGGATGTGGAAACTTACATGACTCCTAATAAAACTTCAGAATTAGGCAATAGAAAGGATATTGGCATGTTGAGTCCCCTCCAAATCCTCCAAATTTATGACTCCCGATCGTACTGATGAACTAGTGATGGGCTTTAAATTCCATTTATGGATTTAGTAATGCATTTTGTTCTCGCTATTAGTATTTGTCAGATAGACTTTTTTAATATTTCCCCTCCAGGCAGGACTCCTGTGACTAGTGACTAGTCTTTAATTCTGGATCAGTGCCAGTTGTTTTTCCAGCCCTCTAGAACATCAGTAACACTAGCAAATCTCCAAGTAGGTGATGTTATATCACACCTAACACTTACACTTGGCCAAAATTTTAAGTCCACAAGATGAATTGCAGACTTTCAGACTTAAGTAAAAGCCGTTATGTACTTAACGGTACCAAATTTTTCCATTACAAATCCTGTTTTTACTCTTTCTTAATTAAAAAAAAAAAGGTGCCTTGAGGGGACTTTGAATTTCTAAGCCTTCCAGATCAAAGATTTCTTCAGCTGTCTGAATTATAGGAATGTTGAAAAACAAAAACAAATCTTTTTCCTGCTATAAAATCCTTTCCATATTTTTGTCTTTATGTAACTCAAAACGGCTGACCTAAAAAATGAAGTTCTAAAAATTCACCAGAAATGGAGTAGTTCGTAATTTTGAAAGTGTCATTCTAATTAATCTGATCCAAGAATAAGTTTTACTAAATTCTTATTTGATCATCTAGAAAATTGCCAAATAGCACTTTGAATAAAATAACATATGTCTAAGAATACCAGAATGTTTTAAATTGTTTATTAAAGTGATTCAGGACTAAATTGTAATGATTTGGGCACGGTGGTAGTGAGGGCTGGTATAATTTTCCTCTGACTCCACACACACCCTTGGCTACATACGTGTCCTTTTAGCAGCACGATTGGCAAAACAGGGAGCTGCTTATTTCAAAAGCTTTTGCAAGAAGGTGTAGACTTTTTATAAAGCAGTAGTTTATATGTAGTCATCATGTTGCTGATATTTTCAGTATACATCCTGACCCTCAGAATAAACTGCTTTTAGCGGGGGGGGGGGGTGGCGTTAGCTCATTGGTAACCTGGTATAATAGCTACTCTTACAGTTTGCTACCGTGCACTAGTGGTCTCAGAATTTCAGCACTTCCAGAATGAACCACTTCTTACTTTGTCTCTAGAGAGATATTTCATTATGCTCATACTAATGAAAAAAACTAGATGGCAAATATGGTAAACAGGACGTGTCCTTTTGCATGAGGGGGTGGTAGTGGCTTAGTGCTTTCTGACACTTGAGACTTAAGGCACTTTTATATGTACAAGAGGACATTTGTTTCCAATTTCTTCCTGTGTTACCTTTAAATTTTTTAATAAGTTCTTTTCTAATTATTAAAAAGAAATACAGTCTAGAAGAAAATTAAAAGACAAAGTAAAAAATACAAACATAAAAGAGTTTTAAAAATCCCACCATCTGCATTTGCTTTATGTCAATTTACATTTTGTTGATTTTTGCTTTATGAGAATGTATTTACATAATTGAGATCATGTTGCATACAGAATTTCTACTTTTTTCTTTAAAACATGTTACTCTGAGTTCTGTAGCATTAATCTTAATGACTGTATAAGATTGCTTTATAACCATTTTGGGGCATTCAAGTTGCTTCCAGTATTTTGCTAACATAAATAATTCTGCAGTTCACATTATACATAAAACTTTTCCAATATTGCTGTATTAGACAAAGATTTTAGGTTGTAAGTCACAAGAAATCAGTTCACTCTGGCTTAAGCAAAAGGACTATATTAGCTTGGGTAACTAAAAACTAGGGATGGAGATGGCTTCAGGCATAGCTGGACTCATCTCAGTGTCTTCCGGAATCCATCTTTCCATCTCCTGGACCAGCTTCCCTTTGTGCCAGTTTCATTCTCACGCCTGCTCCTTTACCTCCTCCCAAAAGATACAGCAACTCTTTCCTACTACTTCCAGCAGAACTCCCACAGTTGAGGCTCACTAACTCGACTGGTGTCATACATGGGTATCCCTGAGCCCATCACCAGGGCCAGGGTGCAGAAATATTCTGGTTGGCCTACAGAGCACCCCATTCCCTCTCCCACCTCTCCCATGTGACTCCTCCATTGCCCTCAGTCTGCACACCTGGACCCTTTGCTGTTTCTTGAACCCACCAGTCTGCCCTTCAGCCAGGGCCACTGCTCTTGTCCCCCAGTGTCCCCAAAGCTTTCTGCCCCCTTGCTTTCTTCAGGCCCTACTCAGGGGTTTCCCTGACCACCTCTTCATTTTCTAGCCCCTCTCTCTGCTGCCTCCCTTCACAGACTTATGACTACCTGATGTTCTGTGTTCACGTGCATGGGAACCAAGAGGGCTGGCACTGTCTGTTCACAGCTCTGACCAGCATTCAGTATTCACCGAGTCAATGAATGAGTTTGCCAGGCCAGGTGTGTACCCATCTGTTGGGTCAGCCCACCCTAAGGATAAGCAGTGCCTGAGGGGATGGTGGGATTCCTCAGAGAAAACAGGTGGTCATCTCCAGACCAAGCGGGACTGGATGCTGGACTGACCAAAACAGTGATGCCCCTTCAAGTTCAGACTGCTTTTGACAGCAAATTCCCAGGGGTGGGACTTCAGAGGATTCGAATGTTTTGAGGTTCCTGGTATGTTCTTTGCCGCCCCCCTATAAAAATTCTCCTTGTAAGGGACAAAATAATCTTTCTTAAAGGAATATCACATTGTGCCCCCCTAAACTGAACTGGATAGGAATAACGGAAGAGCCTTACCCCAGCACCCCGACCCCTCACACCCGTGATCTGCCCTCAGCCTATCTCTGACCTCCCAGGTCCTCATGCTCCCGCTCCCTCTCTACCTGCAAGACCTGAATCACAGATCTCACCTGGAAGCCAGCTGACTACCCTCTGTCCTTCAGAGCTCAGCTCAAAAGTCCCCTCAGGAGCCACTAGAACAGCGCCCCTCCCCCACCGCACCCCAGCCTCTCCAGCAAACCTAGTGGTTTTTATACAGTGCCAAGACGCTGTTATTTGTTACCTCATTTATTCTGTCTTCATCACTAGAATGTAAGTTCCACGATGCCCTGTTCTCATCCATTGCTGTATCCCCCAAACTCAAAGCTGGTACCTGGCCTATCAAAGGCCTTTCATAAATTCTTCTGGGAAAAAAAAATAACCAACTGCTCTTCAGGAAAGCTGTAGCAATGAACACCCTCATCAGCAGTAAGAATGCTCATTTCATCTCATCTCTCATTGAAGCAGTTTTCTTAGAACACAGCTCAAGAGATGGATTTTTTGGACCTTCACTGCATGAGTCTCCAGGTCTCAGAAGAAGCTGTGGGGCCGTTTACTAGCAGCTCCCCTCTCACCTGAACAGAGATCAGGTGCACTGTGCTACTGCCAGGTATGTTACAACAAGGCCCTAACAAGGCTAGCTTAAGTACAGCCTGAAGCTTCATCTCTACTATGTAAATGAAAAAAAAAATCCTTTTTGTCACAACTGGACTCAAGGGAACTTTCTAAAAATGTTACATTGAGTAAAAATTAGTGAGAAATCAGCTCAAGTATTTGGGATGTGGATGGGCACCATTTCTGTGCATTCCCATCCCAGATTATCCAGCTGTGTTTGTATTTTGATATACAGAATCTTCTTTAGTCTGTTCATTAACATGAAAATGCATATACTTTTATACATTACTTTTTCAAAGAATTTAGGTTTAAAAAAAAGTCTTGCAAAAATAATTGATCTATATAAAAAGTATTTAATATAGAGAACACCAAAGCACCTTTCACAGGTAAAAGTTCCTGTGCCATATATCAGATAATACTAATCAAATCTCCCTTTACCTGAAAAGAATTTCTGTTTGAATACAAAGTAATAAACTTCCAATCCCCATCTTTCTCAGACAGATCTTATGTATCACTCAACCCAGGTATCACAATTAATCCAGCAAAGTAATGAATGTGTTCTTCAGAAGAATATAGCCAATAAAAAATTTTCTAGTTTAAAAATAGCACCACTTGAGGAGAGGGATATGTCTTTTAAGTGCAAAGTCCCTAAGCAAGTGATTTACCAAAATTCATGGAAACTAAACTTTGAGTGGTTGATCTTTGTAACTTCCCTGTGATCTAGGGCGGAAAACAGAAGAAAGTTTAAAAACAAAGCAAAACAGTAACTTTGAAGACTCAAAAGACATACACAGACACACACACACACACACACACACACCCCTACACCCCTGCCAGAGTGTGTGCTTCTTTGTTTCCTGCTAGTTGTATCACCAGTCAGCGACCTCTACCACAAAGGGCGTTTTCACATCGATCTTGCCGCTGTTGACGATGGAGCAGTCGGTGAGCGGACGGTCATGCCCATCAGTTGCCTGCAGTTCTATGGAGTGGACCACTGTCTGGTGAGAGAAAAGTAGACCCATGGTTCACTTCTGACCAGCAACAGTGGTGATCCAGAAGTGAAATCAGTGTGAAGTCTGAAAGCCCAAGTGGGGATAAGTTGTTTTTTATGATTATAAAAACCATGCAAGCTAAGTATGGAAAATTTAAAAACAGTCAGGAAGATTATATATAACAGAATAAAATTTACCCACTACCTTGCCAATTAAAGAACATATTTGTGTGTTTTGTCCCTTTTTATTAGTATTTTATATTCTAAAAAAAATTAGATATTTTTACAAGCATCTAGCTCTAATAAAAAGTATTTCTACTCACTTGTTAGAACCCAACTTAAAAGTTAGCATGGCGTTTGAGTCAGTTTCAGCTCCACTCTATAAGAGGTCTAGGCAGAAGAAAGTGGGCCAGAAAGCAGATTTAGAAGCAGAGATAGTTCTGGGTTTGCCCATTTTAAAGTGGACCCCAGCCATTAATCTACAGGTTGAATCTGATACTTCTGTAACCCCAACCACACAGTGATGTAAAGGCCCCTTTGTCTACTCTGGAAGGCTCCAGAAGCCCATGTATCGCTTTATGCTTCATACTGTCAAGGACTCGGCAAGGGTGTGGGTACGTACGTGCACCTGTGCACACGTGTGAACCTAGAGCAGCAGCCACACGTCTGAATTACCTGTGGCACTTTAAAGCCTGTGTATTTAACGGTTAAATTGGACATTTCTGTGCTATGTTTACCACAATTTTTTAAATGCTTATTTGTGGGCCCACGTCTGGAGGTTCTGATTCTGTGAGTCTGGGGTGAGGGCCACTGTTAACAAAGCAACCCAGATGATCTCTGGAGGATCAGAGGATGGAATTCAGAAGATTCTGAAAATCCCTTACAACAGTAGAAACACAGTTTTGTTTTTTTCTTCTGTAAAGAGAGTTACAGTTTTCATTTGTTTTTCAAGGTAGTTTATGACTCATAAATTGTGAAGGACTGTTCATCTGAGACCAGGCAGCAGGTGTCCCAGGATGCGTAATGTTGGGAGTGGATGAGAATGAGGATTTTAAGGTTCCTATTGTGATTATGATTGTGAATTGGACCCCATGGATATTCTTTGAGACATAGCAGCATAAACTTGAATTCTCTTTAGTAATTTTGGTTGCTATACTCTGTGTCTTTGAAGGTGACTTATGTCTGTAGTGAGCCACGTGGGGCTCAGGGTTTTTAAAAATATTTTATTTTAAATTGTGGTAAGAAACACATACCATAAAATTTACCATCTTACCCATTTCTGAGTGTACAGTTCAGTAATTTAAGTATATTCACATTATTGTGCAACTGATCTCTAGAACTTTTTCATCTTGTAAAACTGAAGATTTATAGTGATACCCATGGAACACCAGCTCCCCATTTCTGAACCCAAGCCCCCAGCAGCCACCATTCTACTTTATGTTTCCATGTATTTGACTACTTTAGATACCTCATTTAAATGGAATCATACAATCTTTAAGTGACGAGCCTGTTTCACTTAACAGCATTCTTAAGGTCTGTCCATGTTGTATAGCCTGTGACATGATTTCCTTCCTTTTTAAGGCTGAATCGTATCTCATTGTATGTACATACAGGATTTTAGTTCATTACATTAAAAAGAGTTTCCAATTATATCAAGTAGTGAGATAAATTAAGTACTCAACTTCTCATGCCAAGTCCCCAGCTTTGCCCCAATGCTCCTAACAATTAAAATACCATACCACATATAATTTATTCAACTCGGAAGAGGCAAGTCAGCATATAATTATGGCTCTCTAACAAGCACATTTATAGATTAAATCACTAAAGGTACCCCCATTATAAATATAAAGCTTTGAACAAGAAAAAATAATATATCAAGTTACCATTCCATCGATGACTTTTCCAAATACCACATGCTTGCCATCTAGCCAAGTGGGCTTGGTCAAAGTGATAAAGAACTGAGAGCCGTTGGTGTCCGGCCCTGCATTGGCCATGCTGACCCACCCAATGCCATAATGCTTCAGTTTGAAGTTCTCATCTGGAAACGTCTCACCGTAAATGCTTATACCTGGGTGAGACAAAACAAAAAAAGGGGAGAATCAACAGATGTTATATGAAAGGAAATTCCTCAAAGGAAAACATAAAGTTTGAGTAGAACTGAGTAATAGAAGCCTGTAGGAGGTGGGGGTGGGAAAAGATGGTCCAACATAAGGAGGAATAAAGCAGAGGATAAAATTAACTCCTTAAGGAAACAGAACACCAGGGACTGAAACAGACAAATGAAAGTATGACACAAGATAGTAGGGTCCCCTCTGGCCTCAAACCAAGACCCAAACCATGACCAAGCAAGTCAGTGATTTCACTCTGAAGTGGGAAGGAAGCAATGGACAGGATGAAATCCTGAACCCAGAGAGAGAGAGAACGAGCCTTCCTAGTGGCTCCAACTCTGTCCTGAGATTCAGCTCACTTGTCCTGGGTCACTCCTGTCTCAGCACCCAACCCAACTAGAGTGCAGTATGCACCTACTCTACACTCTCAGCTAATTCTCACAACAGTCCCAGAGAACGGGTATTCTCATTCCTATTCTGAATGGTAAACAGAGATTATCAGACTCACAAACGGCAGAGCAGGACATGAACAGTGATGTTCTGACTCTAACACTCTTTCCTGCCTCAGCACTAAGAGCAATAGTGCCAGCCTGGAAGGCATTAGGCGTAGTGACTTCAGGGCTCACCAGGATACAGAGGGTGACGGCAATCGAGAGCACCCAAGGATCCAACCTTGAACAGAAGCCCCAGAGGCAGGCATGTAGGCTGGAGTCCTAGCATAGCAGCAGGGAGAGCAGAACACATTTTTCCTATAAAACAACAGTACGGACCAGGAGAAGTATCTCTCCATTCTCCAACACCTTGAGTGCCTGTCATGCCCACCTCCTCCACTTTAGGACACCTTATCCATCGGTGACCAACCTTAAAGCCCTGGCTCAGTTAGAAGGACCAGAAGTGGATATCAAAGGCAAACAATTTATAGCTGATTGGTCAGTGACACACAAGATGGCCTGGCAGGAAAGTTCTGCCTGCAGAGAGGTCTAGGCTAAATTTAAGTGATCCAAAAGGTCCTATCTCCAAAACAGAACATTTTAACTCTGCACATGCACACACACATATGGCAGGAAAAGCAGGCAGAGACACACAAAGAAAAGAGGACACAGTAAAGCTCTGTCACCATTACTTCAGGGCCTCAGGCAGGATGGTGGGGTGCCAGTCCAGAGGGGACCAGTACTGGAGCTGCAGGCTTTTCCAGGGAGACTCAGCTCTGCAGCGGCTGGGACTACTGTGCCAAGCATCCCCACCATCCCCATTAACCCAAGCAACCTGCACATGTTCTTCTGCTCCATTCAACATTCCCATGCCTGGCAGCATCTCTGCAGGGACTAAAACAATCGTCCTGAAATTTTGGACAAAGCCAAGCCTTTAATGGTAGCCATTTTGTTATAAATAAACCATTGCAATAAACATAAAATTAGCCCTAGTGCTTGAAAATGACCCAAGTGTTTCTTTAAAAAGTTAGCAGTTTAATATCCACCAAAACCAGTATTTGCTGAAATAGAAATCTTAAACCTGAAGTAAATTTAAATTCTGTGTAATTATGTATATTGTGTGTGTGTTCAGGAAAAGAACTCACAACATTTTTGAGGAAAAACGGTCATGGGGGCTGGGTAGCTGGAATCCTCAGAAACAGTAAGCTCAGGGATATCTGAAAAGCTATAAACTTAATTATTTGTACTTCAAAGAACTCTAACTTTGTTGATAAAAATTAAGCTACATTATATTTGACAACTTGTCTATTACTTTCATTTTTTTAAATTATTGAAAAGCTCACAGTAAAATGAAAGAATTTTGAAAGAAGGAGGCAAATTCACCTGTAATCCTGTCACCTAAATGTCAGTCTGATCACCCTGGCATGATGCCCTCAGGCCTCCTGCACCAACTACACATTTGCAGCTGGCTGCCACCACACTGTACAGTTTTATAGCCTACCTTTCTTTGTGATGACAAACGTCTTTCTGTACTGCTACATACTAGGAGTCTACCATTCAATCACTGCAGAACAGTACATCTCCACTATAGAAAGATAATGAACACCAAAGCAATACTGTTTTAAATTAGGAAGCCTAACTCATTTGTACCTACCAAGATCTTGTTAGATGAGGCCCCCCCAAACTCCATCCTTCTTAAAGAATTAGATTGGTTGTCTTTATGACTTTGTTCTTTAAACCTGGGAGTTTGATATACTGGATAAGTATATTGTCTTAATCTTAGGTTTCACTTTGGTAAGCAGGAAAGGAAAAATGTGAGAGACCACATTACCGCCAGTGCCGTCTCCACGGGTGAAGTCTCCTCCTTGAATCATGAAATCTTTGATGACGCGATGAAATTTGCTTCCTTTATATCCATATCCTCTCTAAAGAGATTAAGTCAATTGAATATATAAGTAGATATAACCCATACTGAAAGATAAAGCCCAGTGTTTATCTGGAAATGACAAAATGAGAAAGTTACACAAAATATCTACAGAACTAGATCAGGTCCTTGCAATAATTTACTGATAGAAATTTATCTTTAGCTGACCAAAAAATACATAAACAAACTATGGAAGTAAAGTACTAATGTGCATAAGTAAAATAGAGAAATCTGCATTTTCACTTGATAACTGTTTCCCCCCACTTTCTAAAACCCTGAGTGCTTGAAGAATACACATTTTATAGGAAAATAAAGTAAAATATTATTAGATGTCTCAGGTTCATCTCACTTACTAACTTAATACTTATTTTCCCAGCATGCATCTTTATGCTTGGCTTAAAAGAAGGAAGATCCAATTGTGTGCACAGTTAACGGGAATAAAACCGAGATATACCTCTCCTGTTGCCAGAGCGACAAAATTTTCCACAGTCTTGGGCACGACTTTTCCAAAGAGGCCAATCACTATTCTGCCAACATCTTTATCTCCAATCCTCACATCAAAGAAGACCTGTGTGTGGTTGAAAGGCAGAAGGTTATAAGATGGAAAAGCCGCGCTATAGGGTAGGTGAGCGTTACAATCTGGGAGTCGATTCGCATGTAAGAGCCCTGCCCACCAGTATTTTATAAAGGGGTCGTGAAGGAGCATGAGATAAATTAGAGCTCTGAAACCGTTCTGTAGGTGCTTCTCCCTCACAAATATTCATTTACCACACATTTATGGAGCACCCCCCTGGGCCAGGCCCTCTACCAGGAACGGTTTAAAGTCTGACTCAATGCTGTGAGAGGCAGCCAGTAATGTCTCCAGGAACTCCTCTCCTCCTCGCCCCAGACCAACACTGCTGTCGCCTCCTGTTTCCTAGCTTTGTAGACGCAGGTAAGAGTGGAGACTTCTTCTTCTGAGAGGTAATGCTCTCCAGTCTTGGCAGGAGAAAAAAACTGGTGAGGAGAGAAATTATCTAACCATCCAGATTTATTTATTTTTAAATTCGAGCACTGCCAAATTCCCACTGAGTGCTCAATAGACATCTGCTGTCAAGGGAACTGCGAAAGATGATCAAAACATACAGCACTCCTCCAAAAGGCCCGCCACGTGCTAAGGCACCAGGGCTCCAGCACGTCCAGAGAACAGCAGACGTTACACTCGGGTCCTGACAGGACCATTTTCCCTGTACACTCAGACACCGAATGCAGTCGTCATGTTCCCGAAGTTGCACAAGTAGAATGTGTCCTTCCTCTATCACAACATTTTAGAACTGAAGAAAGAAAGCACACATCAGCAGTGTGAGTCACTTTTTTGCAGATAAACCTTAAAAGTTCTCTTGAACCTTTTTTAACCGTTTCATCTGAAATGAAATTATACATGTTTTCCTTCACAAATCACTGTGTTCAGACGATTCTGAGACAGAACGCTTGAAAAGGCCACGGAGTCAAAGGGCATTCTATTAGCAAGTTTAGATTATATGAACCAATTTACTGTTTGAATGGATAAAAAAAGACATTTAAGAGATGGCTTTAAAAAAAAAATAAGAAGGGTTGTCACAGAAAAAGATGTCGTACAATTTAGAAAAATCACTAAGTAAAGACTGTCAAGCTTTATTTAGTCCAAGACGAGGGCTTCTGCCAATACGTCAGTTCGTCTGTCACCGGGTGATGTGATATTTAGTGTTCCATGTGGCATTCTGCAATTTTACATGGCCAAAGCAGCAAAAATTGTTTTCTTTATATAACAGAACTTTCCAGAATGCACAAAAGACCGTGCCCTTGAGATGCAGCAGTGCACTAGAGAAGGACAATTCAGGAAGCAGCATTCACGTGCACAGGAGCCCAGTTGTGCAGAGCTGGGGCCAAAGAGAAGCAGGTTCTCCAAAGGGATTTCCGAGCCAAGGAGTAAATTCAATAACTAGCAATAAGGAAGCAGCACCAGGAAAAGAGTCGGGGACATAATTGTAAAGAGGCATCATGTAAGCCACTAGAAAAGCCTGCGAGACTTGAAAAATAAAGAAGAGAAAATAAAGCCCATGAACATCTCCACAGCAAAGAGAATAAAATGTGAGAGAGCAGTGTGAGATGAAGAAAAAGTGTCTATCACCCAGCATAGCTCTTCAATAAGAATCTCCTTTTCTTACACGTGGCCTAGCACATGTATTAATATGATTTTTTCCCCAAACCTCAGCGTCCTTCACATTCAATGAGTGATGGCAAGAAAATATAGCATAGTTTCCCTAACTCTAATGGAAATGAGAAAATCAGTTCTTATTGTCAACAAATATTTGTCAAAGATCTATATAAAGGCAGTGTGAGGGGACCAGCTCCTGGAGGGCATCCATGTCCT